CGATAGCATCGTTATTATTTGAACATTACTTTGACCCAGTCTCCTCTGACATCTAAAGCTGCTTTGAATCGTTATGTTTTGTGAAAACCCAAAAGCCTGAGGTCTTTATCACTGAGTGACGAGTTATTGACCGCATGGATTGATGTCACTCTTGTGAATGAAGTCTGCACATTTCGAGGCCAAAGATCAATATTAAAGAGCAAATGAGGAACAGAAGGACAGGACATCTGCTCTCAGCACATAAACCTTCATCATGTTCTTCTATGATCTTAATTCAAAGCTAAGCAAGATTACTTTTCTTGCCCCATTGGCAGATATTTTTGCTTGTTTTAAGCAAAAACTAACTACATTTTGATAATTTTTTTTGTCAAGCCTAAATCATTTCACCTGTCAAGTAAATGCATCTTGATTCAAGAATGTTTAGATATTTGTAGAAAACAAGACAAAAATACTAAGTAAGAAGATCCGTTTCTTGCAGTGCATAATGTAATTTTGAGCAGCGTTGCTTATCATGGAGTGTGCGACTGCCTTTAACCTTATTCTTCTGAATCTTGCTACCAGCGTTCAGATTCTCCTAATATTCAACATGAATATATTAACAATGTGCACATCAAAAGAAATACTTCTTTCTCAATCACTGAAATGCGAATGAAGTTTTGAGGCGGCCAATCAGACGTCAGCAGTGTCACGTGGCTCCGCCTCCATACAGCAGCCTTGAGTGACTCGAGAGATTGAGTCGATTCAAAGCCAAGCGTCTGATCAGCGAAACGAGCTGGAGTTCGTTTATTCATACGGTCAGGCCACACAGTCTGAGTTCAGCTGCGAGCGATTCGAATCAAAGCATCTGCCTCTCGAGTGACACAAGGGCCTGCTCTGTTCATCGCTAACATACAGAGAAAGTCTATTAGAAACATTAACAGTCTGTACATTTCTTCAGTTCAGTTCCTTCTAGAATGAAATCTGCATACGCTAACAGGCATGCTTACATTGAGCGTATATCACAATACAGTCTGTCTCTGCTTCAGTCGTTCGGGTAAAACGCTCTCCAGGTTTCACATTAGCAGGATCCATGGCAAATAACCCAGTTTCACCAGCTTCCAGAGAAACCCGAGCAGATATTTTGGCACACAGATGCCGAGCGATTCTCCCTTGTATTCCCAAAAGCACGCTACGCTTGTCTTGAGATTGACTGTCAGTCTAGAGCCTCGATCACAGGGGCCCTAACAGAGAAACCACTGCGCTTTCAGTTCACATCATTTGGAAAGTTTAATGCACTGCTGCGACTCAAATCCTGCCGGTGTAGCTTCACTGGTTTGAGCAGTAAACAGGGCTGTGTTATTCAGAGATCATCGTCCTGACAGGTCTGTCTCACGGCTAAACCACAGCTCTAACCTACTTAACCCTGCGCTGAAGAACACACACACAAAGCCAAGCCGCTGTGAGCATTACAATGACATAAAATACCCCCGGATGAAAGCATCTTCTGAGCAGAGCGTCGGACGGAGCAGGAGAGAGGATGGGTTTAATGCAGTGATACGAGCACAGAGAATATCATGAGTGTTACACTCAGCCAGCACGCGTGTTCTGCATGCACACCATGTTGTGTAAGCAGTATCCAGCCTTTTTCTAAATACAGCACAATGCTAAGCTGTTCTGAGCAGTTTCAGCGTGTGATGCAGCTGCTAGCTGTTTTCTTACAGTCCCCTCAAGATATTCAATGTGCATCTGTTGTTTTATCGTTCGCCAAGAGAAGCATAAGTCTGATGATTTAGTAAATGAACAGAGCTTTCCAGTCTTTCTGAAATGATATCTATACACGTTTAGAAGCTGAAAACTCTTCTCTTCTGCGAACACTTCACTGAAACCTTCGCCTTCCTTGTTCTAGTTTGTTCTATTCTAGATGATGTTTGAAACTTTATATTACAAGCACTTCTTGTGTTTATTGATGCAAGATGAAGCGGTTGTTGTATTCCTTATTGGTAAATCACTTGAGATAAAAGCATCTGCTAAATGCATAAATGCATAAATATAAAGACAAAAACTGAATATCAACTGTCTTGTCAAAAGCCTAACAAATATAATGTGGATGAACCGAGATGATTTGACAGTGATAAGAATCTCACTCTTTAGATTTAATGCAGAATAATGTGATATTAAAACACTCACACAGCGGATGGATGAACAAAGTTTGATCCCACTGAGAGAATTTGGCAGGATTCTCACTCACGCTGATGTCCACAAATAGCCACAGCTGAGATCATTATGAGAAACCCATGAGATCTACAGCGAGGAACTGCTGATGCTGTGTGTGTGTGAGTGAGTGACTGTGTGTGTGTGTTTGAGTGTGTGAGTGTGTGAGTGTTTGTGTGTGTGTGTGAGTGAGTGAGTGAGTGTTTGAGTGAGTGTGTGAGTGAGTGAGTGAGTGAGTGAGTGAGTGAGTGAGTGAGTGAGTGAGTGAGTGAGTGAGTGAGTGAGTGAGTGAGTGAGTGAGTGAGTGAGTGAGTGAGTGAGTGAGTGAGTGAGTGAGTGAGTGAGTGAGTGAGTGAGTGAGTGAGTGAGTGAGTGAGTGAGTGAGTGAGTGAGTGAGTGAGTGAGTGAGTGAGTGAGTGAGTGAGTGAGTGAGTGAGTGAGTGAGTGAGTGAGTGAGTGAGTGAGTGAGTGAGTGAGTGAGTGAGTGAGTGAGTGAGTGAGTGAGTGAGTGAGTGAGTGAGTGAGTGAGTGAGTGAGTGAGTGAGTGAGTGAGTGAGTGAGTGAGTGAGTGAGTGAGTGAGTGAGTGAGTGAGTGAGTGAGTGAGTGAGTGAGTGAGTGAGTGAGTGAGTGAGTGAGTGAGTGAGTGAGTGAGTGAGTGAGTGAGTGAGTGAGTGAGTGAGTGAGTGAGTGAGTGAGTGAGTGAGTGAGTGAGTGAGTGAGTGAGTGAGTGAGTGAGTGAGTGAGTGAGTGAGTGAGTGAGTGAGTGTGTGTGTGTGTGTGTGTGTGTGTGAGTGAGTGAGTGATTGTTTGTGTGTGTGTGTGAGTGAGTGAGTGTTTGAGTGAGTGTGAGTGTGTGTGTGTGTGTGTGAGTGAGAAGATATTTCACTTAAAAGATGTGTACAAATAGTCCACAAGAGAAAATAGTTGAATTTATAAAAATGACCCCGTTCAAAAGTTGTTTCTTAATACTGTGTTGTTAGCTGAATGATCCACAGCTGTGTTTTATTGTTTGGTGATAGTTGTTCATGAGTCCCTGAGCAGTTAAACTCCTGCTGTTCTTCAGAAAAACCCCTCAGCTCCTGCAGATTCCTCGGTTTTCCAGCATTTTTGTGTATTTGAACCCTTTCCAGCAGTGACTGTATGATTCTGAGATGCATCTTTTCACTCTGAAGACGACTGAGGGACTCAAACACAGCTATTACAGAAGCTTCAGACGCTCGCTGATGCTCCAGAAGGAGACACCATGCATTAAGAGCCGGGGGTGAAAACTTTTGAACAGAATGGAGATGTGTACATTTTTCTTATTTTGCCGAAATATCTTTTTTTCCCCCTTCCATTTATTACTGCCCTTCAGAAGATACTTACATGTTTCCCAGAAGACAAAATAAGTTAAATTTACACATCTTCAAATTAAAAGTGTTCACCCCCGGCTCTTAATGCAACATGACATTTTGAACTAGAAGGATGCATTTCTTCTTTTACCTTTTACATTTATTTAATACTGTATTCCAGTGGATGACATTTTTATGTAGGAAAACGTTCTAAAACAACTAAAAATCAGTTTGAGGTCAAATGTCAGGCTGTAATGCGCCGTTGTCCCGAGTTCGAGTCCCGCGAGCATTTCCCAATCCCACCCACTTCCCATCTGAAATACTGCACAGGCAAAAAGGCCACAAAAAATATGTCAGGCTGTAATAACAATGGAAAGATTAATTTCTTACTCTGAATTCGATTGTAAATGCTGAGAGATGGATGCAGAGGGAAGAGTAAGAGAAGCACGCCCTCCAGCGGCCGCGCACGGAACTCTCTCGAGCTCTGGATACAGGACTGACCCGAGCGAGGACGCATCTCGTGTCATAACGGGCTCCGTTGTCTTCTATTCAGATCAGACTCGGACTAACCGCATCATGCAGCTTTACAGCAAACCCTAACCATAACCCTAAGCAGCCAGCTGGGGCTACAGTTCACATCAACAGTTCAATAAAGATCACTTCTGAGCATTCAAGGGATTTCATTTATAAACACAGGTCGGTCTGGAAATGCCTCTAATGGCGAGGCAGTGTTGTGGCATTAAAATTAAAAATTAGAATTTACTTTAAAACTACTTTGTTGGTAATTTTCTAGCTCTAGTAAATTTCACAAATAATTACAAAGAAATGGCAAGCAAAACATTTAATTAAATGGGGATTTTTTTAAAGTAGAAAGACTGAAGTTGTATTTTATTGAGACATGAAAACACATTACAAAGATAGAAGATGTGCTTTCCATCCGCAGCTACAGCATCCGAGCGTTTATCAGTCTGATGAGAGAATGTGCTCCTGAGAGCCGAGGCCGAGCAGTTCTCACGCTGCTCCTTAAGCTGCATCTGAAAAATACTGACTGAAAAACAATATTTGTTTTACCTTTGCAATGAATATTGCAAATGAAAATTGCAGAAATGTGTTAAATTAATTCCACTGCACAAATAAATCAAGTGTGTGATTGCATTTTGAATGCAGCGTATGCTACGGCTACACGGATACTTTATATCATCAGTGTCCTCCAGCATCTCAGCACATATAGAAACGACAGCGTTTAAACGGAATGTCAATAAAGCGATTGGCATTAATCAGTTCTGATGGGACACGGTGTAACGCTGCTCCAGACCTTCAGGACGACTGACCCCAGAGCCAAGGGTTCGATTACACGCACAGGACCCTAGAATAGTCCAGGAACACAGGCGCGCTCTCAGGAGACCCCTCGCACAGATGATCACCACACTATTTATATCTGCTCGCCCCAAGATCGGGTTTCTGGTTTTCTGTTTGAACAAACAAGACTGAAGGGGAATAAAACAGACAGCATTACTGTTAAATACCATACAACATCCAAGACATAGCTTCAAACATTACATTTCTGTAGATTAAGGCGAGAGTTTTCAATACAATAGAATTAAACTGGCACTGATGGAAATGATTGAAACGCTGCGTGTGAACGTGACACGATTCTGTCAGCAAACAGAGCAGAATACAAACACATTTCAGCCTCGGACGAGCCATTAAATGCTCATTAATCAGCTGTCTAATTACTTCAGTCTCCATAACCTCTGATCCTGAGAGTCCTGGGAACCACAGTCAGCTGAAAGCGGTGCCTGAGAAAGAAATGTCATGTTTCATATTTCACCCCCAAATCACTGCTTAATAAAGTTGTTCAATTTTAGTCGGAATTAGAAAAGTATGTCTTTTTAGCTGTAACCCTCGTTAGACAATTCAACATTTTTTTAAAATCAGAATTCGAAGCACAACAAATGCTAGCATGACGTATAACAATTATACTTTACAAATGCAATTACGATCGAACGAATACACTTCATTTCTCTGTATTTTTTGCTGTAGTTTCTGAAATACAGGAGGGGATTGACTAATGAATTACAACAACAGAAATAATTCTTCAATTCTATTTTCTTTAGTTTCTTGGTTTTGGGGTGAAATATGACCTGCCCATGATTTATGAGACAAATGTACATAACAGCATTAATTGAAGACATGTAAATGAGCTACATCAGAAACTCTCATTATCAGAGAAACATATTTGTTCTAGCACGCAGAAGCTAAAACTATAGCACGACATTAGATGATCAGTGCAGCTGTTTAGAGTAAGCACGTTACACTCTGAAGCTGTCGAAAGGAAGAACTTGCCTAACGACTGGAAAGCATCCCGACCTGAAAGAAAACCCACAATCAACGGCTCTTCATGGAGCCCACAGATGGATTCAGATGAGCGTCAGTCGTTCCCGAGACCAACAAACATCACACAGACAGACGGGACACTTGCATTTTATTCAGGCATCACCATACACATTTTTGTCTTGTAGTAAATTGTCTTAAATTAACCAAATCACGTGTATAGTTTCTGAGAGACGTCTCTGGTTTTTGAGGTTAAACAAAGTGTTAACATTTCCAAAGTGCTTTCACAGGGTGGCTTTTACAAGGACAGACCGGACAACAGAGAAATACATCACTTCAGCAACGAAGTCTTACCAAGAATAAAAACGTACAGCCATTTAGAATAAGTCTACAACGCATACGAAGCTTTTCACGTAACCCTGCATAGGAAAAGAAAACACAAAACAACCTGGGTTGCCCAATCTGTCACTAAAAATCCACCGCTGTTAATAAACTGCATAGATATCAATGTAACGTCAGCAATTAAAAAATAGCTGTTCTCATACAGACGGGATAGAGTCCCAAGTTCTATATATTACAGTGCGTCCCCAGAGGAAGGAAATTCAGTAAAAACACATTAAAAGCACAGCCGCACACATTCAAAGCCGTTAGAAAAGACAACCGCGTAAGGCTAGCATTTGGCACCCCGGGGTCCTTCAGGATCATCACTGAGAAGAAACAACTCTACACCATGTTCCCACACCGGACGAGAGACGGTCTGATAGAAAACGCTTGCATTTAAATTTTGCATTAATGCTCTGATCATGCGATCGAGAAGCAGTTTGTGACGCCCTGAAACAGACCCTGTCAGTCAAAGACAAGAAGAGAAAGAGGCAAGTTTCCTGGAAGATCACCAACGGCCCGCGCAAACGTCCACCTCGAGCGCTTCGGGAGCGAGAGCACCACTGGCCGGTTGGGTGGATGACTGCTGGGGGTCAGTGCAGCTCGATGAAGGCCTCCATCTGCTCTGAGATCAGCCCTCTGTAGGGCAGCCTGTGTCTCTCGATGGCGCGGGCCGCCAGACACTGCAGCGTGACGTGGTTGAGCGGGTGTAGCGCGTGTCGCCCGCTGCTCTGCTCGTCCAGCAGCTCGTAGGCCGTCTTGTGCTGTGCGTTCGTGGCGTCGAAGTGCGCTCCGGCCCGGATCAGCGCCGCCATGATCTCTGGACAGCCGTTAGCGGCCGCGATGTGCAGCGGCGTGTTGTTCTCGCAGTCGCGCGAGTCCACATCAGCGCCGCACTCCAGCAGCAGACTCGCCACACACAGCGACGGGAACCGCCCCACCGGGTAACGGCCCACAGACGTGGTGTCCTTGTCCACAGCCATGTGCAGCGGTGTGTAGCCGCTCCGCGCCCGCGGGTGGAGCTTCAGCAGCCGGTACACGGTCTGCCGCTTCTGGTGCTCCTGCTCCGGAGCGCTCTCCAGCTTCTCCAGCAGGAACAGCAGGTGCAGGATGATGCACAGCGCTTTGGTGAACTGCGGCGTCTCCGGAGGACTGTCCCGCTGCGCCACGGCACGCTCCACCTCACGCACGCTCTTCTCCAGAACACCCATCAGATCCTGGGGACCACCACCAAACACGTTACCAACACTACAACTGCACTCTTACAAATAAAGGTGCTTCACCATGCCATACAAGAACCTTTCTTGTCTAAACGGCTCCATCAAGAACCTTTAACATCTGAAGAACCTTTCTGATTCACAAAATAAGAAGGATGGTTCTTTAAAGAACCTTTGACTGAATGGTTCTTTGTGGAACCTAAAATGGTTATTCTATGGCATCGCTAAAGAACCTTTAAAGCACCTTTATTTTTAAGAGTGTGTTATATACAGTTGAAATCAAAAGTACATACAGAATCTACAAAATGTAAAATATTTTACCAAAATGCATGTTATTTTGTATTTAGTACTGACCTGAATAAGATATTTAACTTAAAAAAACATGTACATATAGTCCACAAGGGAAAATAATAGCTGAATTAATAAAAATAACCGCGTTCAATGTTTACATACGCTTGATTCCTAATACTGTGTTGTTAGCTGAATGAGCCACAGCTGTGTTTTGTTCAGTGATAGTTGTTCATGAGTCCCTTGTTGGTCCTGGGCCCGTATTCACAAAACATCTTAAGGCTAAACGTAGCTCATAACTTGCCAATTTAGGAGAAAAATAATGGGCGTGTCAGTCCTAAATGTAGGACTCCTAAATGTTTGCTCTAAGAGTATTTCACAAAGTGTTTCAGCGCTAAAACTCGCTCCTAGATCTGTGAAAGGTTAGGAGCAGTGAAGAAGACTTCTAAGACCAAGCCACAAACTATCCTAAAATAGCTGTTTCCGACAATCTGCCTCGGAACGTAAACATTTTAGAAACTAGGGATGTTCATATTAACCGTTTAACCGTTAACCGAAAGTAAAAAGATTGACCGATTAATACTATCAGTTTAAAAGGTATTTTTTAAGTTACATCTTCCGCCATTTTAGAGAGCATCACAACGCATACGCACGCTTTCCCCCAAGCGTAAACAACGCTGATTACTCAGATTACGTTCATGCGCGCGCTTTCTCTCTGAACGTAAACAACGCTGATTATGTCGATTACGCTCTTGGGTAATCTCCAAAATGGTGGAAGATATAACTCGGGGGAGAAGAATTGTTGAAAAAAAAATTCTTTTTGTTTTCTTTGTGCTCAAAAAGTATTCTCGTAGCTTCGCAAAACTGAAGCTGAGCCACTGAGGTCACATGAACTGGTTTACTGATGTCCTCACCAGGGGTCGACCGATATGTGTTTTTCAAGGCCGATGCCGATACCGATTATTACAGATCAAGTAGACCGATAACCGATATTTTGAACCGATATATATGTCTGGTATAAAAATTAAAATTAATGTCAAAATTAAGAACAAGGGCTCTGACAAAACTGCCTTCCCTGGTGTTGGTTGAGTGTAGTACTCCCACAGTTAACTCTTTATTTTAAAGAGTTAAACTGTTTATTTTTTGGCAAACAAAGGGTTTACCATTAAAATTAAAACATGGAAGAAATAGCGTATTGTGTGATTATTCTTTTAAACAAAAGTTTGTTGTAGTAGTCAGGGGTTAAAACAAAAACAAAAATCTTTTGACTGAAAATGTTTCCTCGGCCTAACCCCATTCCTCAGCCATACCCGTCACACACCCAGTTTAAGAGCAGTGCTTTTCTTCTTGTAATCAAGAGCGCTTGTCCTCCTAATTTAAAAAAAATGAAGGAGCACCTTCTGATCAATAATCAAAAATTGGCACAGAAGAACACAAAAGTGGCTTGTAGGTACATTTTCAGACGTTCAACGAGGCTCAGAGGTCGCATGAGTGCAATTACATTCATGTGGAATTTATTTGGAACTATTTTCATTGATGAAACAGAGCAGAATCAGGCAGTACGTGTTTATTGAACTGTTGTATTAAATCAATATCACATTCGCAAACTCCTTGAATAATTATTAAATTCTGTCACTCTCCTTATCGCGATCTGTGGACGCACAGAAAATGAGAGTTCTCGAGACTCAGAAGCACGTGCAAATGATAAGATCCGTCATCTGTCATCGTGTTATAAGCGTGGAACCTGCGGGAATGAGTATAATTATTATTAATAGCCGCAATCCTGCGCCTGAAACTCAAGTCCTGCTCTGTGTTCTCTGCTAATAACCCGACTGTGCATGATGCGAGGCGTTATGTTGTCAGTGAGAAGCTGCAGCCGTGGCGGGGAGGATGTTTGGTGTGCTGGTGTTCTGACAAATAATGCTACCTATCAGATTATGCTACCAACAAATCGTCAGGACACCGGCAGAACAACAACAATGTGCTACATGTTTCTTTTCCCCTCATTTTTTCCAATTGACGGAAATCCGTCGTAGCGACGGAAAACTTTCATCCCGGAGTAGTGTTATGTACATCATACTTCACCACAGTAATATATTTCTGATCATTTCTTTAAGCTAACCCGAACTTATATTTTGACGGGTTGCCATGAGGAACTTGTTTCTGTAGGTCTATATAAATGATATGAAGACAGTTTTACTTCAGTCTGTGAGATGACATCGAGCACAATAACTGAGAGAAACGTTCATGGATGGAAGAAGAGTGTTTGTAATAAGAGTTCGGCACAAACGCGATTCGTTCACTTAGTGAGCATAACCGTTTACAGCTCCGTGACACAACCCGTCGAGAGGCTTATACAAACACCACAGAATAAGCCTTAAACGTTCTCAGAGGTGCAACAGCGCGTTCACATATATGTGTTTTCGATGCAGAGTGCAAATGGCTGTGCATTTATTTGTTTTTAACTCGATGGGAGCGAAATGAAACTCTGAAACCGAAGCGGTGTGTGCTGTCCCCTCCCCCGCTCCGCACCACGCCCACTTTTTAGCATTTTTTAAACCGGTGTTGAACTGACCAGCGCTGAATGACCCTTCCATGACCCTTTAAGACTTCTCCATTCCTTACTACAGGTTTGTCTCAGCAGCTTTGTGAACAGGTTTTAAGAGAAACTCTTAGCTAAAACTCTGACTGCTGTTTAGGAGAGCGCTCAGCGGTCAGATTAAATGTGTTGTGAATACGGCCCAGGTGTGTTTGATTAGGGTTGGATACCTCTGATCTACTTAATCAGCTGTATTCTGACTCGTGTATGATATTTTTCTTCCAAATATGATAATTTTGAACTTCTGGTACGATGCTTGGGGTGTATTCACACCTGGAAAGAATATTGGTCCGGCCCAAATACAATGTTGATTTTTTGGGGGGGTTTTTTGTTTGGTGCGGTTCGCTTTCACACTGCCCTTTTAGCAAGTGAACCAGAAACCGTAAACAAAACCACGTGTGTGTGTGTGTGTGTGTGCTAAGTTCATCCATCCAACCGCACCAGAGTTCGCTCTTCAGCTGGGTCTGGGTACGGCTGTTTGGTCCGACAAGACAGGTGTGAATACACCCTTGTTGGACATTTCCAATCGGGCAACACTGGGCTACCTGGACAAGGCAAGCGGTCACCCTACCTGGAAGGTGACCCGAGCGACCCGACCCTTGGCTCGGTCCTGCAGCACGAAGGAGAAGAGCTCGGCGAAGGATAGGAAGCTGCTGGCCGTCATAGGACTGAGCGGGTCCAGGTTGCTCTGCTGCATGTCCAGAGCGTACTTCCACAGACTGATGCAGCGCTCGAAGTTGCCCGAGTCGGCGTAGACGGCCCCGCGGTAGCGGATGTAGTAGGACGTGTCCGGGTGCGAGGGCCCGAGGATGCGCTCTCGGATCAGCAGCGCCTGCATGCGCATCTCGTCCGGGTCGGTGATCAGCGCCTCCAGCTCCTCCGCCGTGCACACCTCGCGGGCGCAGTCGTACGCCAGCACCGGCGGCCCCGGGGCCGGTTTAGCCAGGGTCTTCTCGCCCGCCCGCCGCAGCTCCATGGCTCTCCTCCAGTAGCGCATGGCTCCCAGCAGGTCGCGCTTCTTGTCCACGAAGGTGGCCCCCAGCAGCTCCAGCGCGTCGACGCGGTGCTCTCGGACGGCGCGCGGCTGGTGCACCAGGTACTCCACGATGTTGGTGTGTCCGGTGACGCTGGCGGCGAGCAGCGGGGTCATGCCGTACCCGTCCCGCTCCATGCGTGCGCCGCCCTTCAGCAGCATCTTCATGATCTCCAGACTCCCGGACTCGGCGCAGTCGTGCAGAGCCGTGTTGCCCTTCACGCTCCGGCGGTTGACGTCGGCTCCGCGCTCCAGCAGGAACTTGGCGATCTCCTTGTGGCTCTTGTAGCAGGAGATCATCAGGCAGGTGTGGCCGTGCCGGTTGGCCACCTCCATGTCAGCGCGGTGCTCCACCAGGTAGCGCACGATCTCCAGGTGTCCGTCGAAGCAGGCGGCCCGCAGCGGGGTGGAGTTGGTGAGGGTGGTGCTGTTGACGGAGGCTCCGCGCTTCAGGAGCGTCTTCACCACCGGCAGGTGCCCCGCGGCGGAGGCCGCCCACAGCGGCGGAGCGCCCTCGATCGTCTCGCCGTCGAAGTTGACGGCTCCGCCGCGCTCCACGCCGGCCCTGCAGTGCTCCAGCAGGTACTCCACCACCTCCAGGTGTCCGTAGCGCGAGGCGATCAGCAGCGGCGTGCCTCCCTGCGTCTTCTCCTCCGACAGCGCCTCCAGCTCCTCCGGACTTTTGTTGCTCAGCAGCTTCTGGATGAGCTTCAGCTTTCCGTCCCTCGCCGCGTTAAACAGCGCGGTGCTGATATCCATCGCGTCGCCGCGGGGCGTCTTCGAGTGTCCGTTACAGCGCGTCTGTGTCCGCGGGCGTGGGAAGCGCGCGTCGCTTCTTATTCAGTGAGGAACGGTCCTCGCGCTGCATTATACTGCCATTTTAAGGCTCTTGTCGAAATGGCGTCGATGTTGTTTGACAGCTCTGTTTACAAGCGGCGCGCGGAACGCTGGGTAATGGAGTCCGTGCGTCCTGTCAGCGCACAGCGCCAGCCGCGCACAGAACTACATTAACCTCCGGGCGTCGCGAGCGCTGGGCAAACTCGTCGCGCGAAGGCTTGTGGGAAATGTAGTACATATACATAGCGCTTGCCCGTGTGAGCCGGTGTTGCGGCGACTTCACGGAACTACATTGCCCGTCATGCACTGCGCGAAACTTTGGCAGCTTGATGTAAACACGGAATGTATGAGCAACTCGTCTGGCATTTGTGAAGTCACGGTGATCTTTTACTGTACCAAGAACGTGTTTGTAAGCGTATGAGGCATATTTTAAATGCTTTGTGTTTTTAAAACCAGTGTCACACACCCAAAACTGAGTAGAGTAGACCTGCTGTCACCGAAGCGAACTTATTGATAACTATATTCACGTTATTTACTTTCTTTTAGTTAATTTTACATATAAACAGTAGAAGTTATTGTACACAAGTATAAAGTTAAGTGACAAATTCAAGTTAAAACCATGATTCAAAGATATTTTCATGACCCTGCTTTATTAGAAACGGGAGCCTTTAATGATTCGATGGAAATACAAACACTTTTATTGTTTCACAGCCATTAACTCACTACAACTGAATCAATATTTAAAACAAGAACTCCTTAAATATGATCTACTTGTTACGAAGAATACCGAGGTGTCTTCAGTGATTATAAACGGCCTCACACCCCCGGGCCCTGAGCTGAGAGCACGCCGACTATCACTAGTCTTCACTCTTCAGCAGCGCAGGGCTGGATGATCCGGGGTCAGTCGTCCATAAATACACCAATGAGCAGTCTGACACATGCACACGCATCCTGAACGGTGTGTTTTGTGTGAAGAGTCAGATTTGATCAGAAAAGCCCAAACTGACCACATTTTCCCCTTCTGCACCTTTATTATTATTTTAAATATCATTCATAGAGTTATTTTACTTTAGCTTTACTCTACTGCAGTGGTTCTCAGCCCTGTGTCTCTGACACACTCATGCAGTCTCTGCTAACCAGTGTTGATCTGAATCAGGCGTGTTGAATCAGGCGTGTTGAATCAGGCGGGTTGAATCAGGCGTGTTGAATCAGGCGGGTTGAATCAGGCGTGTTGAATCAGGCGGGTTGAATAAGGCGTGTTGAAT